AGGTGTAACAGCTTTTTAATAAAAAAAAGGAATGAAATATGATGTTATTATAATAAAAAAAGATATACTGCAAAAAATTGAAAGCAGATCAGGCAAAAATGTGCCAATGAATATAGAAGTAATAATCATGTTGTGTTTATGTCTAATAAATTAAGAAATTCTAAGAACAAATGGAATACCATTTTATTTTGTTTAATCTCTGAAGCAACAGATCATATGATAAATGATATCAATCTGTTTTACCGTTCTAAATTACTTGATAAGAATATAGTAAATAGTTATCCTAAAGCTCTTTAAAAGTTAATTGCTACACACATTGAAGAGATTAATAATTTACATTCACTTAAAGAACACACCAGAAAAACATGTACCATCAAAGAAGTTTTATTTGCACCGGGCCTAAAAAAATCTTTTAACAGTTGGAAGAATAGAAAAATGTTTTAAAAATTTCATTAAATAATGGTACAGTATAAATAACGAATCAGGTTTCTCTAATTGTTATAAAATATTATAAAATTATTATAATTATAATAATTAATAATATAATTATTAAAATTGTAAAATAAAAGGTAATCTTTACGAGATTAAGTTTGATACAATACACGATTTTACTGCTGATACATCAGCAAATCTTTGTATAAATAATTATAATAATTTTATTTTATAGCATTAACGTGTTATCTCAAAAAACTGCCAAATATGGTTACAAAATTAAATATTGATAAACCCATCGAATAAAGAGGATGAGCAGTTGTAGAAGTGGAGAGATATAAAATTAATTAAAAATGCTCAGCATTACAGAAAGTAAGACTAAAAGAGATGAACACAATAAAAATATCACAAACAACTATCATAAATAGAAAAAAGGAACGAGGACACAAGCTAGGGTTCGTTTCGCCTTGCATGAATCAAACATACACATTGTGAAAGAGTCTGAAGATATTAGTCCGAGGATTTCAACGTTAAAATTAAAATATAATGGCCTTAATATAGTGTTAATCAATGTTCATGCACAGACGAGGATAAAGATGAGGAAGAAAATGAAGTTTTTTATGAGAGAATGAAAGTGATATTCGATACAACGTTAGGAAATATAAAAATTATACTAATCTAAAAGCAAAAATAGGAAAAAAAAGGACCGGAAAGCAAGGCAGAAATATAAGCCTTCACGAGTTCTTGAACGAAAATGGTATAAGACTAGTGAACTTTGCAATAGGGAAAGGATTAATAATTAAGAGTACAATATTACCACACAGAGATATTTACAAATATACCTGGGTATCGCCAGATAGGAGATTCAAGAAGCAGATTGATCAGATTTGGTCAATAACAGGTTTAAAAATGGTTTAACTAATGTATGAACATTAAGATTTAGACAAATACATTCTGAAGAGTTTAAAGCTACAGTTGGACTAAAACAGGGTGATGCACTCTCTCCTATACTCTTTAACATCGCACTGCAGGTGGTAGATTGAAGCATACATAATAAATTTAAAGTAATTGATATCGGAAAATTTGAACCAACTTTAGTGTATGTTGATAATATCGTAGTACTTGGAGAAACTGAAGACGATATAAAACTAGGAACAGAAGAATTAATACGAAGTGCCAAGACAATAGGATTTGAAATAAATTAAAACAAAACCAAGAATATGTGTATAACAAGAGAACAACCACAAATACATCAGACACTCTCGCCTGGTATAACTTTACAATCCTTAACTCGCTTTACGCTCTTCCACATAAAATAATCAATCTATGATCGATTATTCCCACTCTTATAAGTTATATAATGTTCTTCCCTCTTTCTAAAATAAGTATTAACCACAACAAGATCATACGATACTGCGAAATCCAGGATTCTTTTTCCAACCTCATTCTTCCCACTATAACCATACCCACCATGTACTCAATCATATCCTCTCCTCTGATTACCTACATGTCCATTCATATCTCCACCTATCACCGTATCCTCATTGCCAGATACCTCTTGCATCGCCTCATTCATCTCTCTTCAAAACACTTCCTCGTCTATTTCATCACATCCTACCTGTGGTGCATAGACACTTATTACATTCAGCACTTTTTCTTCGAATATCAATTTCACGACTATAATTCTGTTAGTTTTCCTACCTACTTCTACTACTTTACTTTTCATCTCCTCATCCATTATTATCCCTACACCATTCTTTGTACTAGACTTCCCTGAGTATATTATTTTATAACCTTCACCTATTTCCCTTGATTTCGCTCCTTTCCACTTAGTTTCCTGCATACACAAATGTTAACTTTTCTCCTCTTCAATACTTCTACTAATTCTCTACTTCTACCAGTTAATGTTCCAACATTCCATGTACCTATTCTTACTTTGTATCTATCTTTCTCCCTTATACATGAGTCCAGCCTATAGTTAAGTGATGATGTCCCTACACAGTTAACACTACAAGCATTGGGTAGATCTGTACACATGACTGGTGAAACAGCTCCCGCACAAGTTTTCCGGCTGGTATCAAACACTTTATTCTTTAGGCTTTCTCCGTTTTTAACTACTATCTGTTGTCCCTGTGTACATCCGTGATGAGACAATCCGCCTAAGTTTTGTTCAGGATTCCTCATACTTTTTTGACAAAAAGTTTTACGCCTGCTGTCGACCTGACACAACCTCATTAGTCGCCTCTTACGACTGGTAGAATAGGGGCCGTGAAAGTATTCTTAGCCCCTATCCACAGGGAACTCCTTGTATATCCATGTATACACATAATTTTTTTTAATGAAATATTGAATTTAGCTTAATTATTATTTTAACTAATTAACTGAAAAAGCTAAGGTATTTCAACGGAAAATTAAATTAGTTAAGTTAAAAAGTTTATTAAAAAATGATTAACTAGTGGAAAAGTTAAAAAAAAATTACTTTTTTAAATTAACTTTAACTTTTTAATTTGTTAATGCCCATCGTTGCACATAAATGTCAATATTTTCGGAACAATTTCAAAAGTTAATTTTTTGTGGAAAAGTTTCAATTTTGTTACTCTATGTGTAGCAGTTAAGTCAGTGCAACCATTTATATAAGCGCAAAAATTATTTTATGATAATTTATTATTAAATCTGCTGTGACATACATTTTATTGAATTCCATAAAAAAAACATAAAAAAACACAATTATTGAAATAATTAATTTTAATACATCATAAAATTAAAATATTAAACCCATAAATCCTCATTTAGACTATTTTATTAGCTTTTCATAGTTAAATTAGTCATAAAAATGAAGTAATTCTCAATTTTTAACACGCTTGTATTAGTTTCACCTGTATGTATGTAAACATGTTTGTAAGTGTGTTTGTTTGTAACTCTCCACGCGCCACGTGTTATTATTCTCGCGTATCCCGTCGTCTATGACCTTAAGACTAGACTGTCGTAATGCATTCATCATCCCACGCCACGCTCACCACCCGACGGCAACATCATTCCTGTATACATTTATTTTTGGTTATTGTACCCCTACAGGCGTGCGTATCATCGATATTATATATATAAACAAATTTTTATTGTTCATTATTAGATATAAACATTTATAGATGCAAATTTTTAGCTTCGATGCGAAGCTAAGAAGGTATTGGTTTTACTATGCAGTATTTTTTTTTTTTTTTGTGTGTCTGTAATGGGGGAAACCTCCAAAAAAATTACAAATTTAAAAATCGCTAATTTTCGAAATTTTTTCAAATTTTTTACTTAAAACTGCCATAACTTTTTCAAAAATGAACAAATCAATATAATTTTTTTTTTATAGATGCTTGAAGACTTTACCTATTATTTGGTACATTTGTTTTATAAATTTGACCCTAGACCTGCCCACAGGGGGGGATTTAAAATGACAACTTTTTTACAAAAAAATTAACTTTTACAACTTAACTTATGAAAGTGTTCCGGAAATACTGACACTTTTATATATATCTTAAATTAAAGCTAATGTAATATATTTTATTATGGAATAAAAAAATTAGGGACTTTATTTTATCTTCACGGTGAAAATGGCTACCGAATGCTATTTTTGTGTGATAATTCTCGATTTTGTATTTTACATTTTTAACTTTATTATGCTATAACTTATTGAAAAAGTATTAATTTTACCATGATGTGTTCTTTTTTTTTTATGTCTGTTGCCATTTTTTCTCAGCTCTCACTGGACCGATTTTTTTCAACAATACGTCAAAAGATCAAAAATCATATCTAATTGAAGATATTACCCTTAAAAATTGAAAAACTTTCCCTTGTTCCCCCAAATGGGGGAAATATCCAAAAAAATTACAAATTTAAAAATCGGTAAACTTTGTCATTTTTTCACTTTTTTTACTTAAAACTTCCATAACTTTTTCAAAAATAAACAAATCAACATAATTTTTTTTTATACTAAAACCTTAGATATTTCCCTTATATTTGATATCAATCAAAAATGATTTTTAGTTTCACCTATACTATATTACTATATAATATATTACGTATATATATTTATATATTCTTACCGCCGCTACCACCGTTCATACCTTAGGTATAACGTTCCCCCCGCCCACAAAACTAGGCTATACCTAGTGCATGATACGTTTATGTACTTATGTCGCTTTACATGTGTATATATATATATTCTAATTATTATTAAAATTTATACATTAACACGCTTTATTCTCATTAAGAGGTATAAAGTGTATTCATTCCGATTACGGGGGATGATTTCCGTATCGTCATTTTTCATCACTACCTCCATGTTCCGGGAGTGGGTAATTTAGCGCCTGCTGCTTTCCTTGGATGTGGTAACCGTTTCTCAGACTCCCTCCCCGATATCGAACCCTGATTTCCCGTTACCCGTCACAACCATGATATTGATAGTAACTACTATCATAACATGAAACTAAAAAGTAAAAAATAAATATAGTTTAAAAAAACTTAAAAAACACGCTTTTAAAGCACATTGAACTAAAAATTATTTTTAACTTTTTAGTTCAATGTGCTTAAAAAGCGTGTTTTTTAAGTTTTTTTAAACTATATTTATCTTATCATAATGATTGTTAACTTTGAAGGTTAAAATAGGTCGAACGAAGACATTTATTGGTATGATATGTAAATAGGTAATGATATCGTTTATAATTTAATATTTCAGTACATTCTGATTGTAATTTTATTGAATTATAAAAAAAAAATTAATTTACTCATCGAGACTTAAGAATTGTGTCATGTTTTATTGAAATAATTAAAATTATTTTAGTACTCTATAGTAATGAAAGTTGTAGTGACTGGTGCCTCTGGACTTTTAGGAAGATCAATTTATGAACGTTTTACTGATGAAAAAAATTGGTCTGTGTTCGGTACTGCTTTTAAAAGGTGTGTAATTGAGCATCATAATGTTGTAAACTGTAAAAGTGTCTTTACTTTGAATCTTAAAATTAAAGCTTAGGGAATGCGTAAAAAATTCATATCTAGTGGCCAGAGTAGGTTATTTTAAAAAGTATGAAGTTATATGTTGTAATTATATTAAATTTTTTAAGTATAAGTATACATAATTTATTTATTTTATTTATAAAAACATTTTTATGGTCATTAGCCCTTTTAATATGTATATATATATATATATATATATATATATATTTATACATATTTACAAATTACATAATGACAGACAAACAGTAATCAATAAGAATAAGAACATATTGAAACAAGCCAATTAAGGTACATAATGCTTTTGAATCACAAGTTAATAAGATTTTTTTTGTATTTATTAACATATTAAAAGTTTTTCTAGTATAATAATGGCTTATGGATACAGAAATGTTTTAATAATATATCGAGTTAGTAATACATTACTATCATTTTAAATATTATATTTTTTAATATGTAATAATCCATAAATTAACTAAAATAAATTCTAATATTTTTAAAGAGCTCAACTTGGATTAAATAAATTAAATTTATTGAACAAAAAGGAAGTAAGTGATATGCTAAATACTGTTAAACCTGACATTATCATTCATTGTGCAGCGGAACGTTTTCCTGATAAAGTAGAATCTGATCCTCAAACAGCTTATGACCTCAATGTTGGTGTTACCGCCCATCTAGCAAATGAAGCAAGTAAATATGTTTTAGTTAATTTTTTTATTGTTTGATAAAAAATTTTTGTAAAGCTGGTATTTTAAATGTAATATGATTTTTAGCCTAGAACCTTTAAATTTTCAGGAGAAAAACAAAAATTATTACAGTTTCACCATTTTTTTTGCTTAATAGTAATTATCACAATAGTTAATCAAGTATAATGGTTCTATTAAAATAAATATTTTTTTGATTAAATGCGTTATTTTATATTAAAAACAATTTTAATTAAATATAAATTTTCCTAAAAAGAAATAAAAGTTGATTATCAAATTTTTATTAGTACAATGGCCTAATTTCAAAAAAAAAAAAAAAATTAGACTAAGTTTAAAATAAATTAAACTATTTTAAAAATTAATATGTACTTTTTTTTTATATAAAAATCTAATATTTGGAGTTGTATCCTTATTTAAATAAGTGATTTGTTTCAGATAATTATTATATGAAATAAATTAACATTTCATTAAAATTTGAATTATTATATCAGAAAATGTTATAATCATATTAACCTTAAGTTAACCATGTATATCTGCCTTTAGTTGTATAAATTGTTTTCTAAATAGATTTTATTATTTGGTTTTGTATTTGAAGTGGTTTATATGACTTCTAACTATGTGATTTTTTTTTAAGTAAATTAAATTTAAAATAAGTTAAATTATATTTATAATACTTATATTATAAATATAATTTTTTTTACTTAAACCATTCCTATAAGTTAGTTAATGTATAATTTATAATATTTTAATCTCATTAGATCAACTTAATATTCCATTATTGTATATAAGTACTGATTACGTATTTGATGGTAAAAAAAGTCCATATAAAGAGTCTGATGAACCGTCACCTATAAATGAGTATGGAAAACTTAAACTATTGGGAGAGAAAAAAGTTTTATCCGCTAATTCAAGTATTTATAATTAATTTGATTTAAAGAATCATAAATAACGCTTTAAAAATATTATTTAGAAAACATTGTTCTTCGTATTCCAATACTCTATGGAACAGTTGAAACTTTGGAAGAAAGTGCTGTTACTATATTATTTAAAGGATTGAAGAAAAGTCAACAACAAAATGAATTTTTCAAAGTATCTAACTATGAGTTGCGTAATCCATCTAATGTTAAAGATATAGCGCACATTGTATTTAAACTTACAGAACTAAAACTTCATGATGTAAAACTTAATATAAAAAACTCCCATATATTGATTACTTATTTTTATTTAATACTTATCTAGGTTAATGATATAAATGGAATTTTTCATTGGTGTGGGAAAGAAGTTTTAACTAAGTATGATATGGTAGTAAAAATGGCTAATGCTTTTGGTTTGAGTCTAGATAGAGTGATTCCTGTTACAGAACAAATTGGTGTTCAGCGACCTTACAATACTTGTCTGGATGTATCCCGAATTGAACAACTGGGTATAGGTTATCACACACATTTTGATGTTGGAATAAAATCTGTACTAGCTAAATGGATTTAATAAAAAAATTTTTTATAATATAATATACTGATTTTTTATTATTATTGTCAAATTAATTCTATTTCTGAGTAGTCTGATTTAGGTACTTTTAGGCCTAAGACAAGATTGAAATTGTAGTCACTTATTTTATATGGTGTAAATTCTTTTATATAAAAACCTGAAGCTCCAAATAAGTACAGGTTATAGGCAGCTGCCTACTGCGAAAGATATATATATTTTACACTATAGTTATTATATTGGTGTTACATTATTAGTTCACAAATAAACCAAATTAACTTATTAAATATATACAGTGTTCCATCACTTCATAACATATTAGTAACTTTTGATCTATAAAATATTTTTTTTTATAATATTTTTACAGTTCTAGAATAACTGGACAAAACATATTAAAAGCATATTTGTAATATTTGTTTATATTTTTTCGTAATTTGAAAATGTCATTTTTTAGCCTATTTCTTATAAAAATGTTTAATGGGTTAACTGCCTAGTATCTAATCTGTAACTATTGAGTTACTAGTATTTCAAAGTATTGAGCTGATATGTAGTGCACCCGGAGTACTCATACATCAGTACGTATTGTACTGATGAATTTTATTTCGAGGTAGGTTAAAAAAATGAAATATTAAAAAATAAACTATTTTTAATTTGAAGTGATTTTCAATGTTCATAATAATGAATTGTATAGTATATAATTAATAATAGTAATAAGGTTCGTCAACAATATATATTTGGATATCAATATCTCACCTAATTTCAGCAATATTAAATCGCAATATAAAAAAATTAATTATAAATACGTCTGTATTTAAGTGCTATTTATATTTTTTCATTGGTTTAAGTGATAACTGAAAACAACTTTTCTTTTTTTCGAAATTAAAATTTAAATGTTTTGTAAGGGATCTAGATTGATCAAATTGTTGGAATTTAAATTTATCCAGGGCTTCGCAAATCATAATTCTGGGCGAATAGTACGTAATTAATTATAACTATTAGCATATAAAATTGATTCCAATTACTACTTAAAATCGTTTCTTCTCCGATAGAAATTTTATCTCAGAACCCACCAAAATTGGAAGCCCGCAGCTATAGATCCTTTAATTTATACTTGTATACAGAAACAAATTCAATTGTAACTGCTTAGGTCAGATTTAATTAGTTAATAATTCACATTATAATAAATATAGTTTTAAAAAACTAAAAAACACACTTTTAAAGCACATCGAACTAAAAAGTTAAAAATAAGTTTAAAACAATGAACGCAAAATATTAATATTATTGTGAAAAAAACGTTGGGCGTTCAATATACGAAAAATATGACACAAAGCACTTAAGCTTTTTTTCACAATAATACTAATATTTTTCGTTCATTATTATTTTTAACTTTTTAGTTCGATGATCTTTAAAAGCTTGTTTTTCAGTTCTTTTAAACTATATTTTTTTTTTACCTTTTAGTTTTTAAGATATCGCTGTTACAGTCACGGAGTGTTTATTGTCAATTATCATTAGCAATGGATATAATTTCTGTATTTCCAGTTAGTGTGTTTATAAACTCACAACAATGTGTCTTATTACCATTGATAATATATGCTTGCTAATATCGTCATAAAAACCAATTAGCTACCTGTATTTGTAATCCCTTATGTATTATACATGTATATTAACTCAAAAAAATTTGGATCTTTAAATGTTTATATCTAATAATAAACAATAAAAATTTGTTTATACAAATATATGTATGTAAATATATATATATATATATATATATATATATGTATATATGCAAATTTTTTTTGGAACGAGCATAAGTCAGAATTTTTTGTAAGATCCTGAAAACTAGAACTTTTGAATGGGTCGGCGCAAGACAAGATAGTTGTTTGTATTTTCTTACCAGAATCGCAAACAAGGGGGTTACTAACCCCATAAAATGAATGAGATGTTTGAATTTTTTAGTCGTGATAACTATTTTTTTAGAATTTTCTTAAATAGCGAAAAAAAGTAAAAAATTTTGACGAGCAAAACAAAATAGGGTTATCAAAAATGTAGTTGTAATAACCCTACCATCGCCAAACTTATTTTCTGGTTGTGCCACTATTCCTTAGTATTATTGCAATATTGATGTTATAAATGTATAAATGTAGTATCATAAATCATTTCAAAATCAGCTAAATGAAATCCTTTTGTCAAACAATTATTATTTTGATTATCTTCAACTAATTCCCAACCCAACCAAACCTTTCAATGTCCATTAATAACTTAATAAGTATTTGTTTTTGAAACAGCGCTCGAGCTAGATGACTAAACTTGGTGCATGTAGTTAAGATGGAGTATGGCGGGAATGGATGGCGATACAGGTTAAATAACTTGAACACGCGATTTTGCTATTAATATGTTAATATTTTATAGTAATAGAATAAACAATAAAATAAAAATATATATAGAAACAGAAATATGTTCATTGTTATTGTAATATGTTACAATATCGATCACTAGACTTTAGCCTTAACTAACAATAAACAGCACTAGACTAAATCAATATTAATACACAAAATATATCATTCTTCCTACTAATTCACAATCACATATCCGGTACATACATGGTGTTAAACAATAAAATGTAATAGTATACAATAATTCTATAAAACCTATAATGATGATGGCAGCATGAGCGCAATTTAAATTAAATAGGCTACTCCAATATTTTTGTATTATTGATAACTTAAAATATTTTATACTATTTCAAAAGGGTATTTTTAAATAAAGTCTTTTAAACATTAATATTTAGTAAATTATACTATTTTAAAAATAATATAAAAAAATATTTTTATAAATTATCTTATCCACATCAAGAAATTGCTATACAAAGCCTCTAAATCAATTAAACTCAATTCTTTTAAATGATTTCTGGACAATCCATTGAGCACCTTAGTGGCAGTGATGTCCTAAAGCTAAATAAATGGTGGAGAGGGAGTAATAAAATTATTTATACCAACTGAGTAATTTTTTGGTTTCTTCTATTAGTAGCCACTTTTACACAAAAAAATTGCCAACTAAATTTTTAGCATTTTTTAAGAAGAATATATCTCCAACGTTCCATGCTTAGTAGCTATTTTGCAATGAAAAGATGGCTAAATTGTTTCATTAAAACTTGTTCTAATGTTTATATTGAAACAGTTTATATAATTAAAAAAACATACAAAGAAGGGTTTAAATAGCTATATGCATACTAAAAATGATTTAAGTTATAATATTATAAGGTCATAACATTAGCGAAAATTCTAGTAAGTCCTGTGCTGAAAGAAAATAGTAATAAATAAACACAATATAAATATTCATTGAAAAAAATATATAATTAAGAAGATTACCCAATAATAAAACACATAATATAATTAATCAAATAAAAAACAAAAATACTTCAAAAATGTATATAAAATAAAATGTAATAAACTTAAATGGTAATATACCTAAACCAATCAATAAAATTACATTAATTTTTAAAATTAATACATATCATAAATATTAAATTATATAAGTGATGAAATAAAAATCAAAGCATTTTTCTTATCATATAGTTCAAGATTCCTCCATGCTTGTGATATAAGATGTCTACTTCAGTATCAAAACGCAATATGGCTTTAAAAGATAAGCCTGTATTTGTCTAAATTATAATTTAAATAAAATATTATAAATATTATAAAAACCATAAGCGAAGTGGACTAAGCCATTGAAAAGTTCAGATAATTATATATTTTGTGATATGAAAATATGTTTTAAGCAGAAAAAATTAGAATTAACCATCCAATTTTTTTTTTACTCTGCTTATAATGAGAAATATGGAAGTAAGTCAATAAAAGCTTTTTTTGAAATCAATTTTACATTCCTATTTCTTCTGATATAATCAATAGCTTTCCACATTTAATAAGTCAACTTAACCAATAACAAAATTGTGTAAGGTATATTGCAGTAAAAAATAATAGGTATAACACAATTTTTATACTTACCTGCTATCTATTTTATCATTTAAAATAAATAATGTATAACTAGTATAATATAATTAAAAATATTAATTCATACTTTGACTTCAATTTCATGCAATGGCTTACAGTCTTGTGGAATAATAATGTCATAAACTTCATGACCAGTCAAATTTAAAGTTTCTGCATTTTCTCCATAAAGAAATTGCAAAGGAATAATACCCATACCGACTAAGTTTGAGCGATGTATACGTTCATAAGACTCTGCTATAACAGCTTTGATACCCTAATCATAATAATAGTAAATTTTTTAATTTAATAAAAAAAAATATATATTATCTATTAAAAAAAAAATATTAAATAATTTAAAATGTTTTACTAATAAAAATGGTCCTTTGGCTGCCCAATCTCTTGAAGATCCTGATCCATAATCTTTACCAACAATAGCAATTAATGAGCGATTTTCTTTAGCATATAGTTGTGCTGCATCAAAAACATCCAACTATGTAAACAAAATAAATAAGATTTAATATTATTCAAGAAAGTAAAAACAATTTTTTTAATTTCAATATAGCCTTATGAAAATAGATATTTTTGAAAGGCAAAAAAACAAACCTTCCTATTAAAATAAAATGGTACTATTTTGACATACAAAAGAACACATTCCTCTTCATACATATGATAAAATATTTCAAAACCCCATTTTTGCAACAGCTTTAGGAATAAACCACAGATTTAATTAGTTCAATTAAAATAAAATGTTGGTCAAAAAAATTAATTTGAAAATATATTATTTTTAGTTTCTAAGATTATTTTCTAAGCGCATATCCTATTTTCTGACACCCCAATTGGACACCTATTAATTTACATAATGCTTACATTTATGGTTGTGTAAAGTAGCATATTATGATAAAAGTACTGGAAAACTGAAATCTATGCTTTCATATATTTTTACTCAGTTTTCAAAATACTTTCTCTTAATTTTAGTTATATTCATTTAATTATGTTTGTTAATATTCTCCTTACTTCTTGTCCACTAGGAATGTGCAAGGTCTTCGGTCCAGTATTTTTCACCAATTTGTTCACAAGACGTATATTTGCAAATGTTCCTCTAGCCATAATGTCATCATTACCTCTTCTTGAACCATACGAGTTAAAATCTTTGGGTGTAATGCTGTAATCATAAAAAAATTGATAACAATAATACCAAAATTAACTTGAGTCATAAAAATTAACTAATTAAAATAATTTAAATACCGTATTATATGATATAATAAATATAGACTAACTTTTTTGAAGCTAAATAACGAGCTGCTGGACTATTTCTAGCAATACTTCCAGCAGGACTTATATGATCGGTAGTAACTGAATCACCAAGAAACAATAACACATGAGCTTGTCTTACAGACTGAATACCTGGCAAAGTCTGAAAAAGAAAATGAAAATTTTAGAATTTCAATATTTATGAGCTATTTAGTATTTATACTTAAATAATAGTGATTAAAAATCTGGCACTTAAAATACTGAGAACACTTTCTCTTAATAAATAATTGAAAGGTATGTTAACCATTTTATTTTATATTTTAACTTAACTAAATACCATATACTTTTATACATTTTTTTTGTATATTCAAATTTTTTTCCTTGTATTAAATATTAAAATAGTAAAAATTATTTCAATTAGTTTATTTTATTTTAATTATTAAAATATATTTTAATAATATAAAAATAGGAGGAAACGAAAAAAAAATTAAAATATTAAATTATAAAAAAACTATAATTGAAATGATTTAAAGGCAAATTTATTTTTTTAAAGCTTTAGATTGCTCATTAATTATGTACTTTTGTCATGTTAGTAAAGAATGGTGGATTCTTTATGTAGGTTGATGAAAAATCCCAAGGATACAGTTGTCCATCTGGGGCTTGAAGGCACTGCCAGGCATTAGAACCATTTTCAATTCGAGCATAAACATCTTGGAACATTGCTGGTATTACTGTTTTTTTTTCAACACTCTGAATTTGTTCTCTAGATGGCCAAATATTTTTTAAAAATATTGGTACACCATTTTTACCCATACCTAAATATTTAGAAATTATTTTGATAAGTTTTTTTTTAATACATTCTATACATTTATTATTTATTGTTCATCTCAAATACCAATAGGTTCAGTTTCAAAATCAATATCAATACGTCCAGCAATTGCATATGCAATTACCAATAATGGTGAAGCTAAGTAGTTAGCACGAGTATTTGGATGTATACGGCCTTCAAAATTTCTATTTCCAGATAACACACCGCAACAAACAAGATCATTCTGCAAAAAAAAAGGACTTAATAATATATCTCTTTTGAAAAACAATATAAACTCAACTTACCAATTCAATAGCATTCACTAAAGACTCAGGTAAAGGTCCAGAATTTCCAATACAAGTCATGCATCCAAAACCCACAGTATCAAAACCGAGTTGTTTAAGAAATGGCATAACTCCACTCTCTCTTAAATAATAAGTAACTACTCCAGATCCAGGAGACAAACTAGTTTTAATATAAGGGGCTACTGATAATCCAACTTGTACAGCATTTTGTGCTAATAAACCTGTAAAAAAACAATAAAATACTACAGTAGTAATGTTAATTAAACATTAAGTTAAACAATATATTTTAATTTACCAGCTCCAAGCATAACACTAGGGTTGCTAGTATTTGTACACGAAGTTATAGCAGCTATAACAACTGATCCGTGTTTTAAAATGTACTTTTGATTATTAAATTCAAATTCACCACATGCATTTAATTTTTCTGGATTTATATTGAACCCTTTAAAACCTATCTATAAAAATAATAAAAAATGTATGTAGTACAAATAATAAATTTTTCATGCATATTTTTATTGTTTATGCTCCTGATAAATTATCCTTTCATCTTTTTTAAGCATATGATAATTTATTATAACTGACTAATGTTATTTTCACTTGATATCATCAAATAATAAACTTTCATCCAATTTTAGACAGATATCTTTACGTCATACAATTCATAATACTAGAAGTATAGCTAGGATTTTTGCCCAAGGACTTTTTTTTTGTTAATTACATACTTTTACTAAAATCAAAGTCATTTATAGAGTGATCCGTTTATCATAACCCACTCAATTACTATCAAAATAAAAATAATTTCAACATGCGTATTTAGTTATAAAATAGAAAACTATCTAATTAAGAAAATGACTACTCAAGAACAACTTTTGAAATAGTACTTTGGATGTTATTAACAGATTAAAATACAGATTGAAGGTGAAGCGCTAGATCATGCTATTTTATATCATCATTAGTTACTTCTTAACTGTACTCCCTCCCACTAAAAAAATGTTAAAAACCTCCAAAATACAAGTCCAAAAATTGTTATTGACCAGTCATTTTCATAATTACATTATTTTATATTTTATAAACTAGTAAAATATATATATTGCTATTTAAAAATAATACATTGACACTTCTATAAGATATTAAGGATGAACTGAAAAAGTTCTTTGATTTCTCAATTTGATAAATCAAAAAATACATGTCATTAATAAAAACCAAAAATAAATTTTCAAAAATATTTTCATGTTGTAAGTAATTTAGAGAATTATGATTAGATATTTAAATGCAAATTGCATTTTTTAGTATTATTTTATATAATGCTTTTTAAGTATAAAATTCGATTTAAGTAATAGATGATTAAATAGTGAAAATTTATTTTGCATTATTTTGTTGTTTTTTTAATTTTAAGATTTTTAAGGCATTATTGTCGTTTTTTTGGGTCATTTCAATACTTTTTAGAGTATATTTAAGGCAAAGTGATATATTATATTTATTAAAGTATTATATTTTATTAATATCCATTATTTTTTGTTATGTATAAAAATATTCATAGGTGCAATGTAATATTAGTATTTTTAATAGAAATTATTTAAAGTTAAAATAAGTTATATTTGACTTCCCAAAAGTTTTGTTTATTTATACTAATAATTGGTTAAAGGTTGGGGAGGTGAGGCTATAGTCCATGGCACAGTATCATGACAATATGTCAATGTCCAAAAATGTATAAAATGAATCTTATTTTAAAATATAGTATTAAATTTATTTAATACTATAAAATTAAAAAAAAATGTTTTATTATTAGTATTATATAATGTTCAGTGATTAAGGAAACAGGTGAATTGTTACAAACAATTAACACAATATAAACCCGTTTCCTTACATACTGAACATCCTAAATAATAATATATAATATTGTATAAACTTTAGTAGACAGTACCTACTTTTAATTTTGAAAATTGATTTATGTAATAATTGAATAGTTTCTATTAGATTATATAATATATAAATTTAAAAAATCAACTGTTGGATCTTTATATTTTTTTTTATTTAATTTAACAATTTTTACAGAATAAAAATGTTTGAATGTATTGAAGTTAATTGATCAATGGTTTTTAAAAAATGTTACTTTTGAATCAACTTATTAACAAACTTAATTTTTAACTGAAATTTATGAATTAAATTATGTGAAAAGCAGCATGCTAAATGTATATGAAAAAAATGAAAGTGACACTAATTATATACACTGCTAGAATAAAATTTTTGGGGGCTAAGTCCTTCTAGTTTCAATTATGATACTAATTTCTAATCTTCAAATCCGATAATAATTTTACATTTAAAATTATATGCAAATATACTTTTGTATTAAACCAAACTCTGATAAAACAATTCAATATATTTATGTAGAAATGAAAAATAATTTTCAACAGCTATTTGAATGCCTCGAAAAAACAAAATTATTTAAAAACATTTTGTAGGTCAATTGGTACCAATATTTATCAAATACAAAGGATCTGTGACCTTTATATGTCCGTTAGAAAACCGTTCTACAACCAGCATGGTTACACTTACAGGTACTTAAAACATAAATAGGGAATATGTCAATTGTCCTTTTTCATGAAAATTACACTAAAAAAGGTCAACTAAAGAGATGTTCAGTTAAATAAAATAATATCTCTTAAGAGTTTTACCAATAATACAGACTTCACCATTTTTCAATTAAGGAAAACATTTTATGAATCTATAAAATGTTTCACAAGAATATACATCATTATTGGAATACTTCTCATGTTATAATCACATGATTTAATATTAAAATAAAATTTATTAGATATGAAGTTAACATAGTTTTAATGATTAAGTATTATGAACTACGTCGATAAGTGACTGAAATAGAACACTATCACAGGTCGATAGCATAACAACAATAAATACACAATATTTATTTATAAAAGCAATACGGGTATGAAAAGTTAAACGATAATAGTAGATGTAAAGGAAAGGAATTAGATTATCTTACTTTAAACAATCAAGAAATACATAGAAAAATGATGGATAAATTAGAAATTGTTACTTAATATTACATTGAAAATTGAACCTCATCATTAATAGTTTTTTTATAACTATTGTATAGCTTGAATAGAATTTTGTCTGCAATTAAACTGTCTACACTTGGCATGACTTTCTTAATATATAGCCCCTATAATCTTGATATTATACTTCGAAAAAAGTCTGAATACGATAACACAGTGACAAAAGACTATTATTTTCACATTGTTTTTAATGTCATACTGTAGTACTAAGTAAAATTACGTTTAGGGTTAAAAATAATTAATAATAAAAATTATAACCAATTTTAAATAAAGATTTTCATTTTAACTATTCAAATAGATCACACATGTCTAAAATAAACATAACAGATAGAAAGGTCCACACTGACGAGATATGCCTCCATTCTAAGGCCCTCTTTATAAAAAACAAATTTTATATTATTTTGATAATTCAAAAAATATATTGACACAAAGTATAAAGATTCAATAATCACATAAAATAAATTACGTATTAAGAAATTACTCGCAGTCCTAATAACCCTCTATAATCAATAAAAACTAAATTTAGGGGCGTTGGTATACACAATAATTAATAATATTCCAATCATAATAATTGTATTAATATTATAGAATAATTACAGAAAAATTGGGCAAGTTATTATTCATGAGACTACGTAAAAAAGTCAATATTGATAAGATAATAGGTTACCGTGATTTGACATTGTACAGCATAGATGGATCCCAATTTTCACTATAAACTTGTGAAATAAATAAGATTATCAACACTGAAATGTATGTATAAACTTATATTTATGATCGTGCTAAAATTAATTTATAACTTATCAAACATTACTTGATAAAATATACAAAATATACTGCACAAATGCAAAATCATTTCCTTATATTAACACTGCATGGATATAAAAAAAAAATTAAAACATAAGATCTTTATAACAATAAACTCGATGAAAATATATCACACAAATTTTGTATTATAAAGATATTAAAAAGAAATTGATAGAAAGTATCTGTATACATAATAAACGAAACATGAAGTATAAAAATAACTAACATAATATCAAAACAAGAAGATAGTTAATAACCAAATCAATTCATATATGACAACTATAACATATATTAAATATGAATTAATGAGAAAAATTGACATAAAGATTCATTATCTAAAAATTCAGAGTCAAAATATATATATATGATCAAAAATGATACGATACCTTTTTTCAAAATATGCGCGTGGACTTTTAAAACGCTAGTGGCTCGCGGCAAAAATTTCCCGGAGTCTCGTAATCGAGTTTAGTTGAAAAAAACATTTTGAAATCTAAGTAATAATCCCAAAAAATCGTTTTTTTTCTTGTTCTATTATATAATACATTCTCAAATTTTTGAACATCTTTTATATATTAATAAAATACAATTTTGAATGTGTTCAATAATATTGTAAATTCTTAAAAATTGAATGCCTCGTAAAAAACATTACCTCAATCATGTATGACCGTTGAAATAAAAACGCAAACAACATAAATTTAATTTAGGTCAATGTTTCAAGTTCATGAGTACATTATAATGTAGATTTGTTTATTCATTTCAGATGCAGAATAAATTTCAAATTATACATTTTGTACAGTTTTATAAAATATAATATTAGTTTTCTGATTTTAACTGAAATGCAATATTCTAAGGTAATATGAATGTTCACCATTTTTAACAAATTGCTCAAAGATATTGTATTATTATAAAAATGTATATTTATATTGTAAAATTATACTTTTAATTGATTATTAAATTATCTTTAACATGAAATTAAAAAATGCTTTAGTAAAAAATAAGGACAAACAATCAAAATGTAAGTTTGTTTTTCAATAATTTTACTTTTTATGTAATATAATATATAATGCATAATATGCACAACATAACGCGTCGTAGTGTATACATGTGGCAGTTAACTTACACAATTATACACTAATTAAATCGATAAATGATTCTATTAAAACGCGATCAAAAATAACCATTAAAATAACATTTAATAATAGATAACACGGACCTTAGTGTTTACCACAATAGTATACATTTGAGTTTTGTTTTGAAACGGCGTATGAAATGAACGTGAAATATTATGCTTTAAGACTAAATATTATTGCAGTCACATGGTAAGATATCTCTGTATTATAATTATAAATTCTAATTCACTACATTGCACTAATATTAAATATTTACAAACTAATTTATTTTTATAATAACTAATAAAAATTATGAACTTTTATCAGTAATGTAAGATACTTGACGATTTTTTTCCAATAAGATGGTTAGAATTTATTTTAGAGAGTTTAACGGGTGTACAGAAAAATACATTTGAACAGAATATTAGAAAGTCGACATTTGATCAACATGGGTAGTAGGATAGG